AAAAAAAATTATTTGTTAAGATGCATTACTGAAAAATGGTCAAGCCAGTAGGGTCTCCATTTCAATCTCAGAAAATATAATGGAAATACTGCTACATTTACATCTCAACAGCCAGACCCCAGGTATCCTTGCAGCAACCTTAGAACCTCAGCTACTAACAATCAGCACAGGACAGAATCAACCCAATCTGGGAAACAAAATATTAGTATGAAGTGAAAATACACTCCCAGCACAATTTAGGCATGGAGAACTGAGAAAAGCAATCATGCTTCTGTCAATGTCCTAATGCCCTTTTCCATGGATATCCTAAGACTTGTGAGAAAAAAAATAATAATAATAATAATGCTCCTTAAGACCTCCCTTTATTCATCACTAGGGGACGTCCTTCCTTCCCATCCACACCTTCATCCATTGCCCTTCTGATAACAGCATTATTTTCATTTAGGGATCCCSCCCCACTCCAGTCCACATAGTTTGGGCCCTGCTGTCTCTGCTACTCTTTGTCCCCCTGAGGCCTCAGAGTTTCAGTGACTGGTTCATGGCCCAACCCAGGCCAATTAGAGTTAGCCCTGGGACTTTGGCTAGAGCTACTCTTGAGAGCTGCTGCAACTATGTGGAAAGACACTGAGAATGAAGCCAACACCAAAGAAAGCAACTAGAGAGAAATAGAGTCATACTAGGCCCGAGGTCCCAGATAGAGCCACACCTAAACCAAATACATTCTCAAACTTTCTGGTTGAGAACCAATAAACTCCTTTTCTCATTAAGACTTTGGTTTTTATTACTTAATTGGAAGGACTGTTACATCATTTTATAATGACACTCTGAAATAGTGACCTCTAAGAACCTCTCCACTGCTAACATTCAGTGGGTCTACCAGCTCCAGAAGTAAGAAAATATGAGAAATATTCACGGATCTCTACTTCAAGAAAAATTGATTCTTACACAGGCTTAGGAAGGTGTGCATATTGAAATTAAACTTTCCTTCCTTCCTTTACTCCTCATCAGTGTAACCCACCAGCATCCATCAAGTTGGCTAACATGGCTCTTATGTTCTTTACTATTTCAGGAAACCACCCATGGAGGATGTGCTCAGGCTGCCATTGAGATGATGAAAGCTCGGCCTTCTGGGTCRAGGAAGCTTTATGACCCAGCACACCACTTTGGATTCACTTGCTCCAATATTTCCAAGTGGTTACTCCAATTGGGAAACCCAAGTAACTATCTTCTTGTTATTCATACCCCAGAGACAAACAGCACCTTGTCATTAAGAGCCAGATAGGAAATAAACATGCCACCAACATATATGGCATTAGAACTGAAGGGAAATGAGGGCTTCTTCAGCTTCAGAACCTAAGGATTATAAGTGCAATGTCTCAGCCCAACAAATTGTATTTGCTTTCTTTACTAACCAACCACCATGGGTTTACTGAACACCTATCCATGCCTTATTGGGACAGATACCCGGGATATAAGAAAGTAGTAGGGAAAATAGCCTCTGCCTTTAAAGCCATATGACTCTCAAGTTCAAGTTAGCCATGGTAACATTTAATAGTATTCTTATAAATACTTAACTTTACAACATGGAGTTTGTTAGTCTCCTCTAGCCTGGGAGTTTATTTTATAACAAAAATTACAGTCCTTATTGCATGTGTATGTATGAGGAYACATGCTAGTAATTCCTGGAAATCAATTTTATAGGGATTATATATCCTTTTCTTCAGATTAATACCAGCACTCAATGCAAAACAAACCTTTAGAGGGTGGCTAAAAGGCTGGTAGTCTGCTTGTCATCRAGCAGTTTACTTCTGGGTTATAAACAGCTCCTTATTCCCCCAGTTCCTAGGACTTACATAATATGCACCTTTGGTCCCACAATGTTCAGGTTGTGGCTGCAGGTGAGAAAGGTGCAGGTAATGTTCCATATTGCCCAACCTTCCCTGAATTAAACATTTAACATCCTAAGCTATGAGATCTAAGGCCAAAAAGAGTTTTCAGTTGCCTCCTTGCATTCTCAACAACTCAACACATAACTTCTCAAGTCAGGAGACTTATCACAAAAGAGATCTGCAATGCTCAATTCAGCACAATGGTGGGAAAGAATGAAGCACCCCTTGGCTGTCTAGGACTGTGTCATTCAGAGGACTTGGCCAGGAAGAGATCAGATGCTCAGCTAAGATGACACAAGCCTTTCCAGATGAGCTGTTGTTTCTGTGCAGGTCATCACTACCATCATGAACAAATAGATCAGTGATGGCCCAAAACCACAGAGAATTCCTGACACTCAGTGACYATTTTGTTCATATGTGTCACTTTTTAAAAACAACAACCCAGCAGGGAGTTGTGCCACACATCTGTAATCCCAGTGGTTTGGGAAGCTGAGAAGGAGGATTGCAAGTTCAAGGCCAGCCTCAGCACTTAGAAAGGCCCTAACCAACTTAGTAAAACACTGTCTCAAAATTTAAAAAAAGATAAATAAAAAATTAAAAAGAGCTAGGGGTGTTGTTCAATGGCTTAGTACCCGGTACCAAAAAAGATAAAATCAGAGGGCATAGGGCTTAGAGCCAGTCAATTGTGAATTCAAGAACAGACTCTATCACAGTTGAACTGAGTGACCTTGGGCAAGTGACCTCTCCAATATCATGTTTCTCATCTGTGAAATGGGATAATAGGCTCTACTTCCTTGTGAGAATTAGAGAGAATATACAGAAAGATGTTGTACTATTCCAACATTTATTCTTTTCTTCTTTGCCCCATTTTTTTTTCAAAGCAACAGTATATCCAGCAAAAAACTTATATTTCCCAGTCTCCCTTGAAGCTGAGAGTGGTCATATGTAACACTGGCCCAGTAAATAAGTGTAAGCAGAAAGTATTGGGTAGGTCTTCCAGTAAAGTCCTTAAAAGAACACAGGTTTAGATAACCCTTCTCTTCTTCTTGCCTGAAATTTAAACTCTATTGGATGGCAAGGTAACAAAAATGAGGATGAAAATCACACACTAAAACTTGGGCATAAAGAACTCAGGGTTCCTGATAGCATCATGAAGCTACTGTACCAGCCTAGATACCCTACCTCCAGATTCCTGGAGAAAACTAAAACCTCATTTGATTATGCCACCTTAATTATTCCCCCAGTTCCTAGGACTTATTAGGGGTATTTCATTGTTAGTAACTAAATGTACTTCCTAACCAAGGAGAAAGGCTAAGCTTATAATAGGATAAAGCTGAGTCCATTCATTTTCTGCACATCACAACTGCACATCACAAAATGCTGTGTCTGCTTAGAACAAATTCTTATTTCTCCCTGCAAATCGCAAGAACACTTAYTTATCATTGGCAATACTTATCTTATTCCTTTTCTTACCAAGAACTTGGAACTTAATAGATCTTACCAAGTAGTTGTGCACTAACTATTATTTTGTCCTGTCTCTAAACCCTTTATCTTACCAGGCAATAAATAATAGAATWTCCTGCTATCTTAATTCTAAAAACACACAGACACACCCTACATATGTCATTCAAAGGTTGAGGCAGGAACAGGAATGACAGCATGAAGGGGCTTGTGTCCTCCTGGCAGGCACACCTCTTCTATTGTATTACCATTGGAGGGATTTCCACCCCAATCATCTTACCTAGATGGCCAAACTAGCAGCTAAGAACAGGGT